TTTCGAGCCGTTATCCAAGCTCTAGGTACTGACTAGGCTGTACGTTGCTTAACTGAGAACTGGTGTTTCAACGTGATATGGCTATAAGCCTTCGTTCTTTATAAGCCCAGATTATTGATCATAACAACAGAATAAGGGACCCATGTCTACCAGTGGTAGGAATATGTAAGAACTAATCAAAACACTTGGATTGAACCGTTTAACAAACTCATTTAATGTTAATCGTGATCCAGCATTCTAATGGGTCAGATAAAAAAAAAACAAAAAAAACTGTAAAAGGAAGAATGACACAACGAAAAATGTAAAGAATGAATATCACAGATAAAGGAGATATGCATAATGTTAGGGGACCTTACCCATAATAACATAATGGACTATTCCATACGTAATAAATACTGCGTCTCAAAAGGAAGCAGGGAGTTCCGTCTGAAGTCTGGAGTGAAGTCCGTCAGAAGTCTGTCAGTCAGCCAGAGCGAGCGAGTCAGTCAGTCGAGTCAGAATCAGTCCGAAACAGAGTCGTGTTCAGACAATTACTACTAAACCTGATTGTTCGTACTAACACTTCCTACCTCTCTGTATATATTCCTGTTTGTAATATATCTGTGTTATTCCATATCCGCCTTCGAGTTCTTCTTTATTGGTTCTACCTTGGACTATCACCGTGGTACCATGAACCGGACCATAACACATAAAAATCAAGAAAACTAACAAAAGACATGCTCATTCAAGAACAGAACGCTGATATTAGAAAAAGGAAAATACTTCAGAGATGGAACGAATATATCGGTGAAATCCTCCACGACAAAAGAGAACAGACAAAACATAGAAATATCGGCAGACCGGAAATATTAAAAACCTAAGTGGAAGCTGCACTGGCCAAATTGAACAGAAACAAAGCGGCAGGTCCAGGCGGAGTTGTAATAGAGATGCTGGCAGTTTTCAATATCATTCGACCGTCGTCTTTAATCCTATAGTATGTACTACGCCAGGGCTATATACAGATTTGAATTCAGAGTTACTTTCTCCAAGAACGCAGTCTGTCATGCTATTTACCCATAGATGGGGTGGGCGGAAAAGAGCGCGTAGGTGAATGTAATGGATCCGACTGGAATTTGAACTCGGCTCTCCGATTCCTCAATACGAGCCGCTATCCATTACTCCACCGTGCTTCCCAGATGATATTCGGCATAGACAAGCTTACAGAAATAATAAATTTACAACAGTGTCGATATACCGCATGATCTAAGTAGATCTATTTTCATAGCAATGCCTAAGAAACCAGGTGCAAATGAATGTGAACGCCATCGGACAATCATCCTAATGTAAACTTATCTCCTGAATGCTGATTAATAGAGCACGTAACAGAATCAAACCAGGGCTAGAACAATAACAGTGCGCGTTCGTCAAAGTCACTAGAACAATGAAGGCGATATTTATATTCAGAGTGTTATCAGAAAGAGCAATACACTTGCAGAAGTACGTGTACCTGTGTTTTATGAATTACGCAAAGGTGTTCAATAAAATACGCCACAAAGATCTGTTGGAACTGTTCAGCAACCATGACATATTTGGGAAGGATATTAAAATAATAAAAAAAACTGTACTGGCAGCAAACCGTCTAACGGATAGAAAATGAGTTCAACAGATATACAAAAATAGAAAGGGGTGTAAGACAAGGATGTGTCTTTTCACCGGACTTATTTAACCTATACAGCGAGGTAGTTCTGAGAGAATTTGCTGTCCTAACAGGATTCATTATTGGCAGCCACCATCTTAACAACAGAAGATATGCAGATGACAGTGTTGATAGCAAACACTGAAAGAAAATACAAAAGCTCCTACAGAAGGTAGTGAACGAAAGCGAGAAGAAAGGACTAAGCAAAGTGCAGGGTTGTTAGCAAAAGGGGAAGCCAAAATGCAAATCGGGGATACCAAAATCAAACAAATTCAAAAAATTAAATATCTTGGAAATGTTCTAGCAGAGGAGGGAAAGTGCGACACTGAAATCCAAAGACGTAATGGGATGTTCAAAGATGCCTTCCAAAAGCTAAGCAGAGTATTAACAGACAGAAAACTTCGTTAGAAACAAAGGAAAGAGTACTGGACTGTTGCGGGATATCTGCCCTCCAATATGGCAATGAATGCAGGACGATCTCGTCAAAGTTGAAGAAGAAACTTTAAGCAACTTCAAAGTTGGAGAAGAGATTTAAACAACAAAAATATTGTTTTACAGAAGGATCCTGAGGATACCATGGGCCGAACATATGAGCAACAATGAGGTTTTTGAGAACATGAAAGCAAAAAGGAAACTTAATACCAGCACGTAATAAGTAGGGTGAGCTTAGAAAATCTGATACTCACAGTACATAAGAGGACTAGAGAGACAGTGGAAAACAACGCATAACATACTCGATGAGTTTAAGGAAATGGATGACTAAAATCTTTGCATAGAACTTACGGTTGTACCTAGAGATTTTAACCGTAAAATGATGAGACCTATCCGCTAATCTAGTACTGCTCTTCAAATCATGAAGTCTAAATACTATAGAGAAAAGTTCATCAGAACAGTTAACATGAAAGTATTCGGCGGTCGGAAAGTAACTGAAATCGAGATGCCAATAACATTGTAGATACTTCATTGGATTTTATCATAGGTCATAAATATATAGCAGGAGCACCGGACCAGCAATATTAAAAGCTTGGACGAATGTTAGACTTATAAATATGTAAGATAGATTCGTGCGAGAAAAATTGTCTAGCACGACATAGTGACCCAACTTTCCTAGCAGCAGACCTAGCAATCTTTCATGTCAACAGAAAAAGTTAGCCCGAGAGAATCAGAAAGGGACGTCTAAATTTTCTTGGGCACAAAATGAGAAAAGAGGGTTTGGAGAATTTGACACTCAAAGGGATATACCAAAGAAAAAAAGGAACAGGGGAAGGTAGCGTGCTACCTATAGATGATCTTGGGTGGATGGGAAGCTTGATAAGGAGACAAACGTTGCTACAGGGATAGGACATTGTGGCGAGCTAAGATCACCAACATCCTGAAGGAAGACGGCACGAAGAAGAAGAAGAAGAAGAAGAAGAAGAAGAAGAAGAAGAAGAAGAAGAAGAAATATTTTATGGTGAAAATTGATAACAATTCAAAATGGAGAAACGCGGTATTACTTGAGTAATGTGACTTCAGACTATAGCTTTAAACTATACAGTGTAACCCGGATATAAGAAAGTTGTCGGGATCGGAGAAGAAGTCTCTTATATCCGGGTTTCTCTTATATCCGGGTTTGGTCTATTTTGTTTAGGTAAGTATAGGAACACTTTGGGACCAAAGAAAATCTCTCTTATATCCGGGTCTCTCGTATATCAGGGTCTCTTATATCCGGGTTACACTGTACATAAAATGGTCTTTCTATTCTGCAAGAGTTAAGCCAATTTTTCTGTGTCTGTATACAAGGGCGCAAACACTGAAGTCTTTTTGGGGTACAGTACAGAAAAAGGCCAATGGTAACACACAACCGGACACATGCTCATTCACAGATCCTTTCCCGGCTCTTTGAAGTCTACATTTCCCGCCTTCTCGTTCCGACCACTCATTACTATCGTCCTCCTTTATTTTTTATGTAATTTTTATTTACTTACATATTTAGTTTTTTTTTTTATAATGCACTCATCATGATTCACCCTCTCCTGGCTGGATGTTGTATACACAAAACGAGACAGTCTCTACGAGTGGTGTTATTCAGCAACCTTTGATGATACACTCCTATTATGTTTAACTACCACTTAACCGCCTATTTCGTAAAACCCTCATCAAAAAAGAATATATATATATATATATATATATATATATATATATATATATATATATATATATATATATATATATATACAGATATATGTATGGGTAGGAAGAGGTTTAGGTGTTTATGTATTGAGAAATAAGCTTGATGTAAGTGCAAGATATAGATATGAATATTTAATAAGCTTAACTTTCTCTAACACAAAACAGCAAGTCAAGAACACCCAGTGAGAACCTAACTCACTAGATGAGTAATAATCTCCAATAATAGTTTGCTAGCCCTTATGCAATAATGTGGTACACTGGTATAGAAATAGAATTCGTAGTTTGAAGGACAGATATGAGCAGACTGAGATCTATCTATCTATCTATCTATCTATCTATCTATCTATCTATCTATCTATCTATCTATCTATCTGTCTGTCACAGTCTATTGAGTGTATATTGAGATACATATGAATAGACTACGCTATCTAACTAGATACAAGACTCAGATACGTATACACAGAACTGTGATACATAGATATCCATAAAAGGAGAACGAGACAAGTGTTAGTAGACTATCTATAACAGTCTATTCCGTCTACTACTTATCTATCTATCTATCTATCTATCTATCTATCTATCTATCTATCTATCTGATGGCTATTCAGTGTAGATTGAGATACATATGAATAGACTACGCTAACTAGATACAAGACTCAGATCCGAATATACAGAACTGTGATGCGTAGATGTTCATAGAAATAAAATGAGAAAGATTTTAGTAAACTATCAAAGTGTATTCAGAATAGACTACATTATCTATCTATCTATCTATCTATCTATCTATCTATCTATCTATCTATCAGCTTCCTCTACAGACGGAGAGACAGCTACTGAAAAGGAATAGGAAAAAAGCGAGATTGTTAAAACAGTAGAATGGAATAGAGAACATTTGTCTACCTTGCTCCCTAATATATACATAAGGAATAATTTAACAAATTATACAAACAGGTGGAATGGTTGATTTTACTAATGTAGTTATTTTACACAAGTGGTTTATTGCGATGACATCGATCCATGTTCGATTTTAGACAAGGCTTCAGTTTGTCATCACATCTTCACTATCCAAAATTATTAGACTCGTCATATTAAATCATTTTTGCATCTTTTATTGCATTCCTTCGTTTTTCTCTCCATCTTTATTCTCACATCAATGCTTATTCTTGCTTTCTTTTTTCTTTCTTTCTTTCTTTTTATTTTTTTCAGTTTACTTACTCCCTCCTAACATTTTCTTTTTCAGATTTTCCCTCTTTCAATTCTCTCTTTCCATGTCTCTCCAGGACTTCTTTCTTTTAAGTCTTTACTTTAATTAATTTCTTTTCCTTATTTCATTCTCTACGTTCTCTTATTCTTTCTCTTATTTCTTCTCTTATTCTTTCTTTCGCCTGTTGCCTTTCTTTCAATTTTCTTCCTGTTTTGATTTTTTCTCACCATTTCTATTTATTTAAAAAATGCCTTTCAGTGTCTTTTTGTTTCATTCACCATTTTCTTTTTCTTTTTTTCTCTTTCATTTCAGCGTCTCTCTTTTTTTCGCTGCTCGCTTTCTTTTTGCTTCTTTATTTCTTTTTCTTTAATTTTCTCTTTAATCCTTCTCTTGCAACATTTCTTCCTTCTTTTCTTCTTCTTCTTCGTCTACTTCTTGTCCCAATTCTTATACTCTTCTATTTCTCTTTTCCTTACTAGTATATTCACACCTCTTTTTTTTTCAACCATTTATTGTTCTTACCATTTTTATTCTTCCATTCCACTTTTCTTTCTTTCTTTTTTCTTTTTTCTTTCTTTCTTTCTATCTTTCTTTCTTTCATTCGTCTATTTATTTATTTTCGTTGTTCTCTATTCATCTCTTTCTCAGACAATGCAACTCCTTTTCCGCAAAAAGACACTTGTCTTTCTCTTTTTCTTTCATTTTTGTCTGTTTAGACTGCCTTGTCCGTCTCACCGACTCCGGATTCTGGGGTGGCTCTCCTGCTGTCTCTGATCTTCTCATTTTATTGGTGTACTTACCTCTTGTTGTTGGCAGTTAATACTCTTGGCGTGATATACAAGAAGGCAGAGTCAGGCCGCCGATTGGGCGCGTTCCTTTGATGCTGTGGCCCGTTCTGCCGCTGTTCGCTCTTTTCCTTTATCGACAACGACCTCGTAAAAATGTTACAAAAACCGGTGAAAGATTACACTTGATACTTTCAAGTACTCGTATGCTGGCGTACACGAACAGAAGAAAACGCACGCAAAATAGGCACGACGTAAAACAAGCACTGGTCAGCAAATGTTGGCAACACCCTATAAATTTCAAAACCTTAAATTCATATAAAGGCAAGGTATTCAAACAAACTTACAAACAAAGGAAACACTCTGCTTCTTTATTTTTTATTCTTTTCATTTAATCTCTCTCTCTCTCTCTATATATATATATATATATATATATATATATATATATATATATATATATATATATATATATACATACATATGTGTGTGTGTGTGTCCTCTGTGTCCTCTTTATCTATCTATCTATCTATCTATCTATCTATCTATCTATCTATCTATCTATCTATCTATCTATACATACATACATACATACATACATACATACATGTGTGTGTGAAATGTGTCCTCTATATCTATCTATCTATCTATCTACATATATATATATATATATATATATATATATATATATATATACATACATACATGTGTGTGTGAAATGTATCCTCTCTATCTATCTATCTATCTATCTATCTATCTATCTATCTTCATATTTGTCTTCTTTATCTATCTTCATATTTGTCATCTTAATCTACGTATGTATGTATGTATGTAGCTATCATTATGCAAACAAAGTTATGTATTAGCATTAAAAGGAATTTTCAGAATAGTAATCTGATTCACCCCCCAAACTCTGCGACTATTAGTAACCAATAATTTAAGATGTTTATGATAGGTATCTCAAAAATAGCAATACTCAAGGTTTAAAAATAAAATTCATTTTAAAAACGAAAAATCTTTACTGAAGCTTTATTTTAGTTTTAATTCCAAACTGATAGATTAAATTTAATGTTTCCGATAAGCAAAATATGTTACTCTATTTCAAACCGAATTTAAATTGGAATTTTTTATCACTAAAAATTCGGCCATATTGACAAATCTGTCAACACAACATAATTCTCTTTATTAAAATATATTTCAAACATAAAATATACTTTTCTGAAACTTTTTGAAGAAGATTATCTATTTTAATGTTTAATTAATCGGAATTAAAACAAATATATATTTTTTAAAAATCACAGAAAAGCATATTTTAACATGAAGTTAGTGTTTTATGATGTGCAGTCAGATTTATCGATAGCTTAATCTTTGGCATTTTCAAGGAAAGAGTCCATAGCTGTACAACGTGAATGCCGTTTTTTATATATTTTTAAATACCCAGTAATGTTCTAAGTAATCTAATATTTTATTGAATTTTAGGTACTTTGGCTTTATAGACTTACAAAGACACTAGTTGAGGATATGTTATAAAATTACCAATAAATGTTAAATTTACTGTACTTACCACTCTTATTTTCTGATAATGCTATGTATGGACATGCGTAGTTACAAAAATCGTCACGTTTATACACACGTAAAAAAATACAAAATTATTTTTAAAATACTGGGGATCGCTGGACTGTAGTAAGCGCTTTCATTTATAATTAAGAAATACAGTATTTCTCTAATAACAATATCAGTTGACCGTTACGTATTAATACAGAATTTTAAGATTTAAAACATTACAAATAACTGAAACATCCTAACGAGCGGACCGAACAATTACAAGTAGGTTCGTCTCCGAAACTCTGGTACTGAATATAACATCAATAAACTAAGTGACAATTTTTAATAATCCTAAATTATTATAAATAATTAGAAAAAATGAAAGCAATTCTTGTAAAAATCCATTATACTTAAGACAATAGTATCCATAATATATTGTATTCATAAAAGCAATTATTTTCTGTAAATGGGGTTTCTGTTTGACAAAAAAAAAAAAAAAATAAATAAATGATAATTTAAATTTTTCAAGGACTTACATTACCTAAAATTATGAGTGTTGTGGTAACAGATGTAAAAAAAATCCAAATTTTCTAAAAAAGAAACGTTTTTAGAATAATTTAATTCATTTGTGAATAAGTCCTGAAAGTTTAATTAAAATCCAATGATTATTTGATTTTTGTAAGAACGTCTAAATCAATGGGGTTTTCCTCGCAAAAAGACGCTCAAATTTGCCATATAATCACCTGTTGACACAAGAAAAACAAAATTTTTAATCAAAATTTCAAAGGTTGTAAAAAGGATTAAAAAATACAATGTAATAATAAAAAAATCCATTGATATTTCCTCTTCTTAATAATAACATGAAGATTTTGACGATAGAACTTAAGTTTTATTAGGTTCGGAGAATTTTTTCATCATGATATGCTTATTTTTTATCAAATTTTTGGAGGTACCCGTATTTATGTAAATATTAGGTACCATCAAAGTGGGTGCATCTTTTCAGAAATTAAAACAAAAAATCGCTACTTCCAAATTCAGGGAACTATCCGATTCAAATGAAATATTGACTACTTATTCATTAATGAATACGTTATTTTACGAGAAAAAACTTCTGGGAATATATTTTATGGGGGCCAGTTTCAAGATTTCACGTTTTTATACCGTATGAACTTTATAATTTGTATTTAATAGATAATCTATTAAGATGTTATTCAAGTAAAAAATAATGATTCAATATCATGTGTTAACATACATCCCGAAACGTACCAAAAATAATTCAATAAAACAATTTTTTTTGAAAGTTGATGCTTCTTCTTGTTTTTTTACGTGTGTATAAACGTGAAGATTTTTGTAACTACGCATGTCCATACATAGCATTATCAGAAAATAAGAGTGGCAAGTATAGTAAATTTAACATTTATTGGCAATTTTATAACATCTTCTCAAAAAGTCTTTGTAAGTAAGTCTATAAAGCCAAAGTACCTAAAATTCAATAAAATATTAGATTACTTGGAACATTACTGGGTAGTTAAAAATATATAAAAAACAGAATTCACGTTGTACAGCTACGGACTCTTTACTTGAAAATGTCAAAGATTAAGCTATCGATAAATCTGACTGCACATCATAAAACACCAACTTCATGTTAAAATATGCTTTTCTGTGATTTTTACAATAATATTTGTTTTAATTCCGATTAATTAAACATTAAAATAGATAATCTTCTTCAAAAAGTTTCAGAAAAGTATATTTTATGTTTGAAATATATTTTAAAGAGAATTATGTTGTGTTGACAGATTTGTCAATATGGCCGAATTTTTAATGATAAAAAAATAATTTCAATTTTAATTCAGTCAACATCAACATATTTTACTTATCGAAAACATTAAATATAATTTATTAGCTTGGAATTAAAAGTAATTTAAAGCTTCATTAAATTTTTTTCGTTTTTAAAATGCATTTTATTTTTAAAACTTAGGTATTGGTATTTTTTTTTAAAGTTGTTGCTTCCATAATTTAATTTTAATAAAGCATTTTTTTATTTCAAATTTGGCCGAAAAGAATAGATCTACGCGATGTTTATTTTTTTTTTTAAATTGTAATATTTCAGCGCAGATTGGAAATTCATTCCGTCGCAGTTGGTAACAATATCTTTTTTTTCTAATTAAATAAATGTTAGAAGAAAAAAAATGTAAAGTTTAACGTCATTTTCAAGCGTGAACCAATGAATTAAGTACAAAAGTATAATTTCACTTGTTTTTAATTAATTTTTTATATTTTTAATGTAGTATAAAAAATATTCATTCTACTCAGTTCCATAAAATTGTATAGAGTAAAAAATTATATTCTTAAACTATTGCTTATATAAGGTTAAAGATAATTTATTTTTAAACATAAATACCAATTTCTTGATTATTGCGCTGTTGGTGTTCCATATTTTAAATTTTATTCTTAATTTTCACGTGTTTTTAAGTCAAGGTTACGTGACAAAACTACTGTTTTTGGCCTATAAAATCAGAGACTACTGTTATTTTCATATTTCATAAAACACTACTTCCATTATGCTTTAAGCAATAAAAAAAAAAACATTTTGGTGTTATAAACCCTCAGTTAAGTTATATTAACATGGATTTATATTATCTTATACCAAAAAAAATAAATACGTGAGTACGAGAACACACGCACACACATATGTATATACGTGTGTGTGTATATGCGTGTGAAGGGTATATATATATATATATATATATATATATATATATATATATATATTTTTATATAGACAAAAACAGTTTACTCACTACAAAGATGTAACTTCATTTCGGTGCATTTTAACTGCACCTCGACGGGTTTTTCGGTTTTCACCCGTCGAGGTGCAGTTAAAATGCACCGAAACAAAGTTGCATCTTTGTAGTGAGTATTCTGTTTTTGTCTATATGATAAAATTATGATAAATAATTATCGCTCTACTATTGGTATCTAGCCCTCTTTTGGATTAATGCTGAGAACGTTAGAATTTACATATTTCTTTCGTTCTCATTGCATCGGGTATATATATATATATATATATATATATATATATATATATATATATATATATATATATAATACGCAAATATGCAACACTGATTTCGAAATAAATAATCTTCAACGAAGCAAATATGTTTAACAAGCCGAAAACATTACCAAATTCTCACTCCTCAGAAATATTCAACGAATCTCTTAAACCTAAGAACAGCCGAGTAAAGTCAGTGTGTATTCCACCCAAAATGAATACAAGACGTTTTTTTAATAACTTTTATACACACCTATAATGATTTTCTAAGCGCTGCTTAGATGTGGCACAAGGCCGAAAGTATTGGGCACCCAGTGAGGATTGAACTCACTATTCAATCGTAATTGATTTAGCAAGTCAATGTTTCTAACTATTACACCATGTTGGGGTGC